AACATTTTTATTTACATTTTTTTCAAAAATAAACTGTTTTACAGTATTTTTATTTTACGTAACCCTGCATTCATCAACCCAGTAAATTATGAATAATTGACTCAGACACGACATCATCATATCATCAACCGACAGGCGACAACAACTTTGATCCCAAATCCGAAACGACCACGTTGCTTCATTGTTCACTTTTTTTGGAGTGAGCTTCATTGTTCATTGATCCACGGGGCACGGGGGGGTTTGTCTTTTTTGGGTTTGTACTATAATCAACACTTGCTCGAGTTCCTTCTATTCTTTTTTTGCTCCCTAGCCGTCTATACTTTATTCTAAGGATGCAGATGCAATGATACTTCTCAATAATCTCAATTTGTAGTGATTAAAACAAATATTAGTAATGCACCTCGAATTTATGCTAATTTTAAAGGTGCTATTCTACCCTGGAATTGAAATCGTTAACATGTTTGATGTTTCCACTAACCTAACAAATAGTTGTGGTTATCAATAATTTAACTAATTTGTTAATAATTTTTAATGAAAGTAAAAAGTTTTAAATTTAAATTACATAATATATAAAGTAAGGTAAATTAAAAAATAAGAGAACTTATCTCTCATTACACAGCATAAAATAAAAAAAAATATGATTAAATTATTATTTTTAAGAAATATATTGAACAAATGTTAGTTAGGAAATTAACTGTTCTATTTAAAATGAATAAAACTTTTAATTTTTTTGAACTTTCTTCTTCTTCTTTTTTTTCCCTTTTTTCGTTTTTTCTTTGTTTTCCCCCTTCCCACATTTGATCCATTTGGCTTTGGTTTGGAACAAAATATGAGAACAGGTAATTCCAATCCAATAAGAAAAAGGTAAAGATGCAAACAAATTATTGGGTGTGGTTATCACCACATGCTATATTGTTAGGGTTACAAAAATTTTGATATTTTTTTGGTAAATAATTAGTTAGGATATATGAAAATATCAGTAAATAAATTAATTGTAATTTGTTAAATTAAAAAAATTAACTATTTTTTTATTTACTAACTAAAAATTATAACTATCAATTATTTTTAATAACTAAACTAAATAAAATCAATAATTTCAAAATTTTAATATTTTAAAATTTATATCACGATCACTTTTCTTATGGGTGGCTATAACTTTACCCCAAGTTATTGCCCTCTATATTTCTTTAACCTACGTAAGCCACACTTGTCCTTATTTAAAGAAGAATTCTAAACAGGCAAAACCTCCTCTTTTTATTTTTAAGCCCTAAACTTCTTTTGAATTAACACAGGAGCTCCTGAACTAGAAACAATGCAAATAAACTTCAAACCTCGCAACTTTCAAATGATGCAAATTAACTTTCAAATAACTTTTTAAAAGATACAAATAAACTCTAATCATTAACGGACCAATGCATGTTACCCCACGTCATCTTTTTCTTTTTTCTTCACTTGATCTCACTTTTTTATATGAATACTAACATAAATCAAAGGATTTCTTGAGTAATTAAAATCTTGCTAAAATACTTCTTATGGTTTCTTTTTTAAAAGTTTTGCTAAGTTAAAGTTGTTATTTATTTTTTATTTTTTTAATGATAATATAAGTAAATACGTATATTCTCATCAATTCTTTACTTTAAATAAAATAAAAAAATAATCATTATTTTAAGATAATAAAAATATATAATATAAGAAAATATCACTTAAAGAT